AACCCACACCGGGGTCGGGGGACGCAGGACCGGCTACAGATACCAAACCTGCACCGCAGCAGGATCTGCAGCAAGTGCAGCGCAGACAGCGCAAACCCAAGCGCTCCATTGTGATTGATTGTGAGCGGAAGATCACATGCTGCAAAGGTACTCACCCCGACGTGGCCTTGTTTTTCATACATGGAGTCGGGGGGTCGTTGGATATCTGGGGAAGCCAACTGGACTATTTCTCCCAACTTGGTTATGAGGTCATTGCCCTGGACCTGGCCGGCCATGGTACAAGTTCAGCTCCTCAGATTCCCGCTGCCTATACCTTTTATGCTCTGGCTGAGGATGTTAGAATCATCTTCAAGCGATATGCAAAGAGGCGGAATATTTTAGTAGGACACTCTTATGGGTAAGGTAATTTACTCATTTGCCTGATAAATGCGGATACATTTCCCCACTCGTTTGAGCATTTTCTTTCTTGTCTCGCAGTGTCTCGTTTTGTACCTTCCTGGCTCATGAGTATCCGGAACAAGTTCATAAAGTTGTGATGATTAACGGTGGAGGTCCCACAGCACTCGAGCCAAGTCTCTGCTCTGTCTTCAATTTGCCCACATGTGTCCTTAATTTCCTGTCTCCGTGCCTCACCTGGAGCTTTCTCATGTAAGAATAATCGTCCACAGGACACATTTGTCCTTGCCTTGCCCTTTGCCAGCTTGAGCATGAGTGTCTATGTTTGGTAACTACCTTGTCCATTTAATGTAATAGTTTTTACTGAAGGCTGGAATTTGCTACACAACTTTTGCCCAGATTTTTGACCCGGTTTACAGTCTGGACAAGTTGCCAAAATCAAAGACAGTCTGCAGATTTGATTTGAGTCGTCTGTTTATTTGTGTAGTGCATGATGGGCACAGTTTAAAAAGTTTGTCGGAGTCTGTGATCATCATACACTACGTGATTTTCTATGACTTTCGGCAACTAGTGGCTTGTAAATTTGGGTAAAAATCTAGGCAAAAGTCGTGTAGTATATTCCAGCCTTTAGTTAACATGTAGTTGCAAATTTACTTAGTGGAATGTCTAAAGTGGACTGTTGAGATAAAGTGTAACCCACATTTGTCCTTGCCGTGCCCTTTGCCAGCTTGAACACAAGTATCTCTGTTTGTGCTTATAGTAGTTTTTTACCAATAAAGATGCCTTTTTCTTTCCTCAAGGGCTGGATTTGCCCATCAGGGAACGAGAGAAAAGAAACTA